AGAAAAGTGTACAAAAAGGAGTAAGTGCTGTAGCCCTTGTCATAGGTCCAGTACTTCGGAGCAATGCGTTTTGATAAGCGATTATTATTGATAGGGATGGGAGTATTGTACTCCGGAGACATTTAGTACTCGACTCCTGAACGCGGATCTGCATTGCTCCTGTGAGATGATGAAAATGCAGCGCGGCTAGAGTGGGGGCCTCATCGATCAATCATACCTGGGCATGAATGACAGGGAATTCGAGGACTGGACTTGGGGACTGCACCTGTGAATTTGATTGTTGTTGTTAGTGTTATCTACAGGTAATCTACTTGTTGCCTTCTACCCAGGAGAACATTATTAGCAGTACTCCGTGCTCATAGTCCATGCTCTTACGGAGTATTATCATTTCTATCTAAGTGACTATCCCGTACTTCCCTCTAGGTCAGACAGTGAGAAGTGCTGCAAAGTTTAAAAATTACAGAGGACCTGGATTTTCATCAGAAATAGGTAGACTTTGCTAATTCCTCACAAAATTAGATTTCTTATTATTATTGCTGGGCCCTTATGATCCTCACAACCTAAATAAGCTCTGCACTAATTGCAATGACCAAAGTTTGTTACCCAGATTTCGGGCATGAAGAAATGCAAGGGTTTGAAACTCTCCAGCTGTCAACATTGTCGTACAAGATGTCAAGACACATTCTTGCCTCCAACGGCTCAATATCTATCAAGTTTCTCATAAGGGTTAAAGGAATTACATCATCCATTGCCTGTTCAGATTGTGTGTATACTTGCTCTCCTCCCTGCTTAACCAAAGCAAGGTGCAATTGATAGACAACCTTAGTCAAAGCGTGTTACCATTCTCTGATTCTAGGTATTGTTTTACGCTTCCTCTCTTTTAACTTTCATCCGCCATCTAATTCTATTCATTCCCGATTGGATTTTCTCCGCCGAGTCTGTGCGGCTGTCTGAGTACTCCGGCCTTTTTTGAGTTTCTCACTCTTGTCTCCGACATGTTGACTCCTTTTTAGCCTTCTGTCATATCTCGTCCGGTGGATCGCAGGATGGATATCAGTATGGGGCATGTTTGTGTGTCTTACATACTGTGAGCTTGTTTGATAGTTTTACCTGATATGTCAGGAATCATATTGTCTTGACTGTCGTTTGATCGAAGTTCGCAATGCAACTCTTTTGATAAACCAACATTATCACTTTTCATGGTGGGTTTAGTACGGCAGAATTGCTGCCAATGTTTAAAGCAAACTCCTACGCAGTGTCTGTCTTGTTGCCTGTTCTAGCAGATTTGCAGTTATGCTAACATATCGCGTTCAAGCAGACCACTGATGGAGTTACTTGCAGCAATATAGTCGAATTACCCCGTCAGCGCGATTTCATTCGATTGACTTGCCTTCTTCGTGGTCTACCCCTTTACTCCAGGTGCACCAGCTGGATAAGAGCTATGTCTGTCTACCAATCATCTGGAAAAGTAGGCCAAGGAACCGCTGTGATTGAGGGTTTTCGTCCACATTTCGAAAGTAATAACCTCAGTTCTCAGTGGGTCTCTGATTTACACAGGTGTATTAGTTACTGTGATTCTTTTCCCGGGACGGTGTCGACACAACCATCAAGGAGGACAAGCGCGACAAGCGAGTCGGGAGCTCTGAACATCCATGGCATCCCTTTTTGCCCTTCCCATTCGAGCTCAGGACTCTTTGCGCGACAACTCAAAGCAACAGGTTAGCAGAGTTCTCTCCATCACCGACTTATCATATCTTGGAGACTACAACGGGAAGTTTCCGCGAACCGATCGTCTCCATGCAGTAGTCCTTCTGTTTGTACGAGGCTCATATAACTGTGTTGACATACAAAGACATCCAATTGTGGGATAATCAGGAAGTTTGATATCATCGCAACTGTGAAGTTGTAAATCTGTCCCAGCATCTTCAGCTTTAGATTGCCCTGGGACAGATCCAGACACGAGGTATTCGTGGCTATTATGGTCAGAGCATCAAGCAAAATCATGCTGCAAGCCGTTGGCCCTGTAACGGCCATGGGTATACTGTTATTCTGTTATTCTCATTGAGCATTAAACGGTGTGACTGAAGCAGTGAAGTAGACTAGCGATTTTTCCATCAACTACGGCCGGTATCGTGGTGGCTCACTGAGGGTATTCCGTCACTTGAACAGGGTTAGGGATTCATGATGCTGTTTGCATCATTTACGCCCTAAACTACGAATTGTCTTATTCATCTTGGTCGTCCTACTTAGATTGTCAAGTCTGATTTTGGGAAGGTAGTACATGTGCATAAGCTTCTGTGATTCATGGTAATTCTCTGGTCGCAGCTGCGGTGGAGTTGGGTGAAAACGGGCTTACTTTCGGCGTACTAGCATTCAACTCTCGAGTCATTGCTCTTGTTGCTTTTGTGCGTGAGTTGTCGGGAGTCGCTTGTACTTGCAGACGGTTCATTTTATATGCTGGCTAATGTACATACATACGATCCATAGACCAGCGAAATATGACCCTCTTATGGCCCTGTGCACCGTCAGCCAGGGTCCCTCCCGGAATCACCTCATTTACCAAGCCTGTCAGCAGTTGATTGGATCCAAAAGAATCTCCGTACTGCAGTCGAGTTTTGTTTTGACGCTTCCTCCAGCTTCGATCATAGCCTGTTCAAAAGGTTCTATGGGCTAATACTGCGAGTATCCGCATGTCTTAATTCAGCCTGCTAAGCAGAATCATGGCTGAATTCCTCCTCTTCTAAGATTGAGGAAGAGAGTAAACTCCCTGTATCACCGAGCGGTTTGATCTCTCTCGTGTCAGACCATTCCACAAGAATGTCCCTAGGTGATCTTGGTTCTCTCGCAAATGGAAGCTTCCTGACTATGTTGGCGGGACGACGTAACCGAGTCTTTGATTTTCCACGACTCGGTGGATTTTCAGAGAATCCTAATGACTGATTAAGTGTCTCGACAACAAATGCACTTGTCAAATGCACTACAGTGCCGAGAATTAACCCGATGATTAGAGCGGTCGCGAAGAATAGCAGCACGGCCTGCGACACAGATCAGTCTCTTGTCACTCTAACACTCAAGAGCATGTAGCGCCGTTATGCATGAATTCGAGAGATTCTGTAAAGGAAATCTTCAACACATCCATACCTCAAATTTAGCAAGAATCCTAAGAGGAAGGAGGACAAGCTTCAAGACACCACGGCCCAATTTTAACAGTGGAGTGACCAGAAGGTTTAGTAGTCCATACGCAAAATATGCCAAAAAAGTCAGGGGGTATATGATAGAGTAAAGCAAATTTGCGACTGCTGAAGCCCATGCCATTGAAATACAAACACTTGAACTACTGCCGCATTCCCTTGATATATGGATGACAACGGAGGTACGATAGTGGGCCAACCAATTCTTGAACTCAAGGAGCTGATGGACGTTTATCAACGGTGGTTTCCCAATCCCAACCTGACCGCGAAACGATGGAGTTACAGACTCTTGAGGTTCTGCTACTGGTAGGAATGGAGTATGATGTAGGTAGGTAAAGATCCAGTGGAGCCCAAGGCCAGCCTCAGGTCGCTGCTTTCACGCTAAACCGAATCCATCTTAGCGAGGTAACTTTTGCTTGCTACTGTAGCTTACAGCGGCATCGACACCTTACCAAAAAGAACCAACCCCAGAGCTGGAGAACGGAGCCCTATGCCCTAAATGGACACTTTTGGCAAGCCCCGGAACAACGTCGACATCATCAAATGCTGTAAAGATGCCAATGATTCATTGACAGGGTGATACCTACGTACTGATTTGTTTGCCTACATGTCTGCCTGAATCACTCACTGTGCATCACACTTGCATTTAACTCATTCATTTTGCATTATTGCACATTCACTTCGCGCTTGGTCCTCGGTACAGCCCCTGGAGGCTGGCGCGCTGATGCTGGCATACTAACATACAGTAGTCACTTCTTGTCCCTCCCCCTCATTTACCCTCCGCGCACACCGGTCGTCTCAGACACCTTCGCGCTCAGATGGGCAACAATCCTTCAAAGGGCCCTTCCGGAGATGCTCCGCCAAGTTCGGGCTCTTCAAATTTATCGGCTCCAGCAGGCGATAAGAAGGTGAATCGCCGGCCGTCAACCAACGCGATATCCGGCGCAGCAAAGGCAACTGCTGCCGACCCCTCGGCGTCTGCTCAGACAGCAACAGGACATTCGGCCACAGCACATCAAACACCAGTCCAGCAGCGCCTTCAATCGCGCAACATTACACATTCTGCCAAGGGCTATTCCGAACGGCAGGACCGACATGATGCGAAGGAAGCAGAGCCTCACTACAGGGATATTCCCTCGCCAGATCCGTCCAATCCTGTTCAGGTACCTGTTTCTCGGTCTGCTGCCAGACATGATCCGGCTGTAGCACCATCTGGCCCACCTCTCAATACATATTATAGTGCATCCACCCACCTTCAACGTCCGCCGCGGATGCCCCTACCCATCGGCGATGCGACGGCTACTCCAGGTTCACCGATCATCGGACCAGAGGACTCACATATCGGGTTCGTCTCAGGCGGTCGTCCATTGAGTGAACAAGCTGGTCGAGACAATCCAGGCATCAGCAACACTGCCGTTGACGATGAGGAGACGGTAGACGAGCTCGAACCATACACCCCGAGTGGTGTAGGCAGGGCTGTACCAACATTTATCGAATGGAATGGCCCCGGAGAGAAAGTCTACGTTACTGGAACCTTTGTCAATTGGGAAAAGAAATATCGTTTACACAGAAAGTATGTAATCCTCCACTTACTGCTGTGTCTCATTCTGTCCTCTTTGTGCATGGACTTGCGAAACCATCGTGAGGACCAAAATAACTCCTTTCATTGTTTTCGGTCTTCTCCCACTCTCCTCTTCCCTTCCTTCCCGCCCTCAGACTCAGGATGCAACTTCTCGCCCTCTGGTCCAACAAGAGAATGCCACGGGTGCTAATGGATGATTCATGAACAGCGAAAGTAATCCAGGGGTCATGTCCACAACGTTGAATCTCCGCCCCGGTACACACCATCTGAAATTTATTGTGGATGGGGAAATGCGGGCTTCGGATAATCTGCCTACCGCAGTCGACTTCACGAATCATCTCGTCAACTACATTGAAGTCAGCGCGGACGACGTCAACCGGTCGCGCAGAGGAAGCGATAGAACGAACAAAAGTGCTGTTCCTTCAGGCGTTCACCCTCCCCAGGTGATCCCCCATCTTATTGGGAACGACCGCAATGGAGCCGATGTCGAAGATCAGTCCGACAAGGAAGAACCAGAGGAGATCCCCTTGGGAGACTTCCGGACTATTATCCCCCAATTTCTTGTCGATCTAGATAAGGAAGAAGACAGCCCAGAATACCAGCAAGCTGCTAATGTGATTGGTGATACTCCTACGCCACCCAGTCTTCCACTATTCCTGGGTAAATCGATCCTGAACGGCACGACACCGATGAAAGACGACAGCAGTGTTCTCAACTATCCTAATCATACGGTACTCAACCATCTCGCAACGAGTAGCATAAAAAATGGTGTTCTTGCGACCAGCGTGACAACCAGATACAAACGAAAGGTAAGATCTCCGCCAAGCACCACCATTATTTTCAGAGTATGGACTCAGCCTCGCGCAGTATGTCACAACGATATTGTACAAGCCGACCAGCCACATCACGGGCTAGTAACCCCTTGGGAAAAGGCGCCTACTGCGTACTCTCTCATACGATGCGTGATCCAATCTCGGTGACACTGCCGGTGATTTCGCACGAAATGGTTGGGTCACGGGCCTGGACTCTCGGTGTCAGTGATCCTTCGCTACAGTATACGCGACTCGCCTTTTCTCTGATTCCTTCAGAGGATCCGTTTCGACGAGGAGAAGACACTTCGTCGACTTGTTCATGGTCATAAATTCCTCCGATAGATGCACATATGTAAGAGTCTTCTCAATTCACATGCCTCAGGGCGCATGGCTACGGTCAATTTACACACAGATGATGGACGATTTCATGTACAACCGTGCGCTGTTTACATTTCATTTCTTGGTTATTACAGCATGAATGTCGATATGCAATATCATCAATTGCCGCTGCCCCTTCCAACATTTTTGTACCTTTCTTTGCCTCCTTGTGGTCATGGGCTGATGCACACTTGCGTTTGCGGTTATTGTCAGGCATCTGGTGGTCCTGCCTTCCTATCCCCATGTTTGTTGGACTAGGATTCAGCGATGTACCATTTTTACATCTTAGCTTCGTGAAACTGCAGGAGTTTTCCATACAAGATAGAGATACCAAGCTCTCTATTACACAAAGATCCTTAACAGCGACTCGTAATATTACAAGAGCAAAGATTAAAAGATGTTAATGTCCGTGGGCAGGATCGTATGTGTCCTTATTATGATCGGTGCTCATATCAATCTCTCCATTTTACAAACACGTCGTCTGTTCGGAACCGCTGCGTACAAGTCGACTCCTTCAACGGAGTCCGGAAACCCGTCTTGTACGCGAGTAAACCTGCCTGCGCGATCATAATCCCATTGTCGATACAGAACCTCTCATCCGTCGCATGGACACTACCACCGCGATCGCGAGCCATGATTCCCATCATCTCCTGTAATCGTTCATTGCACCCGACGCCGCCCACTATGAGGACTTCCTTGGAGCCAACGTGCGCCATAGCGCGCTCTGTAATTTCAACGAGCATCGAGAACACGGTCTCCTGGAGCGAGAAGCATAAGTCTGCGCGCGTGGGTTTAGAATCGTCTGCCGCATCCTCTTCTTCTTTCTCTTCGCCGTTCAAGCCGTAGGATGCAGCCAATCCGTCAATGGCGGCGAGGATACCCGAAAAGGAGCAGTCCATGCCCTTCACTGTGTACGGCAAATCGATCAGTTGCTTGCCCTTTTTCGCTAGTTGCTCGATGTTATACCCCGGAGCGGGATCATTGGAGATGTGCAATGTTCGGGCGAATCTGTCCAGGCAGTTGCCTACGGCGATATCTAGGGTTTCGCCGAAGATCCGGTACCTTTGCGAACTGTAGGCGATCACCTGTGTATTACCTCCTGAGACGTAGAGAACGACAGGATTGGTGGAGCCAGTGATTAGTCTGCCCATTTCAATATCTAAGCGAGTTGTTAGCCCTCTGCTTTTACAATCGCAGTAGGATTGTCGGGAGGCTGTCGAATGTTCGGATCTCAAGCATGAGACAACGGACAGCGTCTATGGTCACACATACGTCCAACGCAATGGTTCACACCAACCAACTCTTTGCCCCATAATAGACTCAGAGTCCGGGCAGCCACAGCGACGCTCTGAAGCGGAGCACCCATGCCAGGGCCCTTGGTAAAGCAGATGCAGTCCACATCACGGACTGAGACGTGAGCTTCTCTGAGCGCTCTCTTTACAAGCTTCACTACCCAGGAGCGATGATGCCGCGCAGTATCTTTGGGAAGAAACCCCTCGCCTGGAGGGGAGACATAGGTGTGACGAATATTAGCAAGGACCCGCGGGGTGCTGCCATCCTCGGGATGGAGCATGATGCCCACGCCAAGTTTGTTGGCCGAGCCTTCGAGTCCGATGGCGATCATGACCGGCAAGAACTATTATCGACTGACCCTCAGATTCAAATCTCAACAGATTATCACATTCATTAAAAGTGGCTAATTCGTTACGGGAGCTCGTCTGAAGAGGGGCAATCTCGGGCTTCATTCGCTATTTTTTTATCAGCAGCGTTATCGATTGGTGGACGGGCAAGCGGCTTGACACGGCGGCAGCGTTTATCCGACGACGGGGGTATACAATAATAAAGGTAAGTAAATGCTCCTCAACTACCAGCTCACTAGCACCGAGAACCCACTCCATGCATTTCTCCTCCCACAACGCTGGGTGGTCCTTGCTGATATCCCTCCATTCTCTTGGTCATCATTGAATTACTTCTTTCTCTTTCGCTTTCCTTGATAGCACCCCTCTCCCGTATCGCAATCGTCTGTGTGCAGCTCATCTCTCGGGGGTCATACTACTCCACTCCACCACCCACACAGGTCACAAACATTCTTCATCGGTAAAAGAATGTCCTCCACAGCCCACTTTCCTGATTCCGACAGCTTCCAGCGTCAGTCAGATGAGTTTATCGCATGGTTAGCTGGAAGGCCGGGTGTGAGAATCAATTCGAAAATCAGTATCGCTGATCTACGATCAAAATCTGCCGGGAGAGGTGTAGGTATGTGGCCACCCATCGGAAAGGTTTTAGATTCATCGTTTTTTTTTCCGTCCAGAAAGAAGCACCATCGTCAAAGTACCACTCTCTGATCATCTATCGTTACATCATCAGTGGCTCGGTCCGATATCTTCGACGGCGAAGAGCTTTTCTCCATCCCCCGCGGACTCGTTCTGTCGGCTCAGAATTCGAAGCTGAAGGATCTGCTCTCACAGGATCTGGAGGGATTAGGCCCATGGCTGTCCCTTATTCTGGTGATGATGTACGAATATCTCCTAGGAGAGCAATCTGCTTGGGCGCCGTACTTTAAAGTTCTTCCCAAAAGCTTTGACACGCTGATGTTCTGGTCCCCTTCCGAACTTCAGGAGCTGCAAGGCAGTGCAATCGTTAGCAAGATCGGGAAACAGGGTGCTGAAGATTCGATCATGCAGATGATCGCACCGGTTGTGAGGGCCAATCCTTCTCTCTTTCCGCCAGTTGAGGGCCTAGCCTCCTGGAACGGCGAAGCGGGTGCTCAGGCCCTTCTGGGGTTAGCTCATGTAATGGGGTCCCTTATTATGGCCTATGCATTTGATATTGAAAAGGTTGAGGATGGGGACGATGAGGACAATGACGAAGAAGACGGTTATGTGACCGATGATGAGCAGGACCAGTCATCTAAAGGCATGGTACCACTTGCAGACATTCTCAACGCGGATGCGGATCGAAATAATGTGGGTGCCTTTCTCCGCACACTCCCTCCCGGTGCGCCATACCAGTACTCATTATCTTCAATTCCTGCAGGCACGCCTCTTTCAAGAGGAGGATTCTTTGGTCATGAAAGCTATCAAGCCCATTCAGGCAGGAGACGAGATTTTCAATGACTATGGAGAATTGCCCCGTGCCGACCTTCTCAGGCGTTACGGCTATGTAACGGACAACTATGCTCCGTACGACGTGGTCGAAGTGTCGCTTGACCAAATCTGCCGGTCTGCCGGTCTTCAAAGTGCCGACATTGAAAGTCAACCTCCGGTACCTACCACCTGCTCCGTTTTCCGGTTCCAAAAATTTTTCGCGGCCCGATGATTGACTCGTATTCTAGCTCGCCTTTCTGGAAGATTTGGAACTCCTCGATGATGGATATGTCGTTCCCAGACCGTCTCCCGAGAACTCGCTGACAGACATCCTTCCGGATGAGCTTCTCTTGTTGCTCAAGACGCTCACACTTTCACCGGAGCAATTGGAGCATCATAAATCGAAGAGCAAACCTCCCAAGCCGTCCTTTGGCCACGCTGAAGCCGCCGTTCTGCTAAAGACCATCCAGCTCGTAGGCAGCCAATACGCCACAACCATTGCCCAGGATGAGGAGATCCTTTCGCGGCTCATTCAGTATGAAGCATCCCGGCCCCTGAACCAATTCGACCGACGACAGAAGATGGCTATTCAGGTTCGCCTGGGTGAAAAGTATATCTTGCAAACGCTGGCCAACGTGCTTGACGACTTCATCGCGAAGTCCGCTCCGACCAATGGAGGGTCCGACCTCAAACGAGGCGCCAACGGCGACAGTGGAGACTCCAGGAGAACAAAAGTTCCCAGGAACTGACATCTGTGAAACACATACCGCTACGCCTTGCATGGGTAGAAGGGATCATTGGTCTCTTCTGTTGTTATTTTCTTCGTTGCTGGCATCAAGCACCGCTATCCGTACACGAGTCTATCGGCTGATAGGTTTCGAAAAAAATCAAGAGGAAAGAGAACAGGCTATGTACACTAACATCCGCATAATTCCAGGGTCATGTCATGAAAACGGGTTGCCATCCACAACTATCGTCCCTTGGACGAGATAGTTGGTTCGGAGTCAAGGTTAAAAGGTGGCGGCTCGTGAGGTCAAGGTATCGGGGGGGCGGTAAAAGTACAAGTACAGAGGAGTATCAAGGCAAAAGAGATAGCAGAGGGAAACCAGGGAATCAAGGAACGCCCGCCAAATGCAAGATATGAGTGGGGGAAGATTAAAAGAAGAAGACACGAGATGAAGAGAGAAGAATAAAGCCCAGCTCATATCTCACGATGTGGAGGCAACGGCACCAGGCCCGGGGTTCGACCCCATTGTCTGCCCCATGTTCGTGGGCCCATTGTTGGTTGTGGTTTGTTCAGCCTGCAACCGCTTCTGCGCTTGAGCCTGCGCTTGCGCTTGAGCCGCTTGAGCCTGCGCATGTGCTTGGGCGGCGGCAGCAGCTTGATCTCGCGCTTTAGCAGCCATTATGGCGCGATGTTGCATGATCTGGACATCGTACTGATCACATTCAAAATCCGACTCAAGGTCCGAATCCTCTCGATCATACTTGAATCGATCAGCCTTCAGCGGATCCAGTTCGATTCTACACCGCGACACCAGATTTCGACGATCAATCATCAAGCGACCGCCGCGCCCAATGCGCCTCCTGAATGACGGTATTTTGCTGGTGTCCTCATTCATCTCCCATGTACGAGGGA